GGGGACAGAGAAGATCCTAGTTTTGGTGCCTCCTGAAGAGAGACCTGTATAGGAATTAAAAGTTGAGGGTAATAATTGTGGTGGAACTAATGAAACCAAATGCCCAACTCATAGCTTTGTGAGAGGCACAAATGTCATTTTCTATTTTTCAAAATAACTATTAGTAAGTTCTACTCCATTCCTTGTGCAAATCCTCAGTGTTCTACATTGAAGTGCAAACCCTCTTATACACTTTCTTATTAGAGCTGGTGCACCAACATACCTGTCTGCTTATTTGGGAGTAAAGTGTGTTCCATCCAAATCACTTGTCGAAGGGCGTCTGCACGCTACGTCAAGTACGTTCCTACTTCAAGTGTCAGCATCAAGTTCGCAGTCTTTCTGTCATCCTTTCAGAACGACAAACCTTTGCTTTATCTTATGTCTTCTCTCGCTGGAGAGCAGAATGGAGTTCATCCCATCTTGACACCTTTATGACTTTATGATTTCTTTTATTACTGGGCTAATCGCTAGTGCGTATTTTGAAAAGATGGCTACCAGTCACTTCTGAGTTAAACAAAGGAGGCCAGTGCAGGTTATTCATGGCATTATTTATAGAATTTGGCTCTAAGAAAATTCAACTCAGTTTCCTGAAATGGAACGAGTTTGTGACTTCAAAGGGAAACATCTGCATTTCCTTTTCCAAAAATACTCTCTTTCCATTAGACTGTACCCTGTGATAGTTAGAGGTTTCCACAAGATGGCAACATAATCCTTTGGGTGACAATAAATCTAACTTTAAAAAAATTGAATTTTGAGTTCTTATGTACATATAATTGGCATGTATTTTGTGGGCTACAGAATGGGTTTTGAAGGCATACATATAGTATACATTAGTAAAATCAAGGATATACACATATTCATCTTCTAACTTTTAAATATATATATATATCCAGAAATATTTGTATAGGCACTATTAAAAAAGCTTTTTTTGAGAGATTTTTGCTATAGGGCACATGTGCTCACCAGAGAGACAGAGAGACATAAAGCAAGAAATCACCCTCCAGGGGGGATGGCCATGCTGCAGTCCTTTCTCCTCCATTCTCCTCTGTGGCTCTTGAGCACACACGCACACGCATGTGGCATGAGTTTGAAGTCACTGGGTGTAGAACTCGAACTGCTGTCGGCCATGTGGGAGTCCAGCGACATAACCATTATGCCATCTACTGGTCCTCTCACACACAAAAAAGCAGTTTTTAAAAGAGGAAAAATCTCAGGGCTGGCTCTAACCACACATGGTAATTAGAGCACTGGATTCCCACACAGTGGACTGCAGTTTGAGTCCAGATCTGGTGTCTTGCTTTCTCACTTTCTCTCTCTCTCTCTCTCTCTGGTCAAATTAAAAATAATAATAAATTAAATTTTCCAAATAATTCATTTTTTAAAAAAGGAAAAATTCTTGGGACCAGCAGTTAGTGTAATGGCTATGTCGCTGAACTCCCAT